AGGCTAAGGCTCAAGCCCAAGCTCAGGCTAAGGCTAAGGCTCAAGCCCAAGCTCAGGCTAAGGCTAAGGCTCAATCCAAAGCTCAGGCTGAGGCTCAGGCTCAAGCCCGAGCTCAAGGTAGATTAATTAATGAACTATAAATAATAGAGATAATTGGATGATCTTTTGTTAATATAAAATTATAATTCAGCTGCAGGTCATGGTAATGCTGGATCGAACGTATTAGCCACAGCAGCTGCCGATGCTAGCGCACAAGCTAATTCCGACGGCGGAGATGCATCAGCATCGGCTGCTGCCAAAGCGGCGGCTTCAGTTCAATAGGGATCATGCTGAAAAGTAGAGTGATTGTCGCATTCGATGCGATACATATCGGTTTGGTTTCCACAACCAACTATAGTTGATTTGTTCCAAATACGAAATAAAGAGTTCTTCAAATGATAGCATCAGATTTTGGGATTTCATTGATTTTTCGAATTGAATATTATGTCTTATAGATATTATATACACTTTCGAAACAAGAACTAAGCAACATCACATAAAAATCATTACCTAGTACAAGCATTGGGAATACCGTCAAATTTGTGTAATTCACATGAATCCCGTTGAAAATGTTAAAACCTGGTAGACAACTGGTAGACATTTTCCACTTTCTCCCGTTAAACCTATTGAGTTTGGCGGTAATTCCATCGATTACACATTTTAACGGGATTGTCAACCGAATCGGCTACACTACGTAGTGTAATCAATTTTTTTTTTCGGTCTAATCATAATTTAGAGTCATCAATCACTTAATTACGAATTTTTGCATACATTCCACGTGCGGCATAGGAATGCGGCAATTATTATTTCGAAGGAATTCTTCGCTCGGAAGCTATATGTAGTGGAAAATACCCAACGTCAGAGTGGCACTAAAGCATTCAGTTCGGATAAAATAATTTAACAAAGTCGAAATTACTTGTTTCCCAGGAAATAATATAACGATAATTATTTAAGACTAATTCTATCAATTTTTTTCTCGAGTACAATTGTTCCCTCAAATACAATTGTTTTGCAAAGATGCGTCCGTTAGACGATCGCCGTATAAAACCGATGCTATCGAAACAAAGTTAGTTCACATTGTTTTCAAAGTCCGTCGATAAAGTTCAAATCGCAAAGATGAGGTTCTCGATCGCTTTTGCTTGCATCATTCTTATCGTCGTTAGCTCGGTAGTTTTAGCACAATGTTTTAATTTGAATACACCAACCTGATTTATTTATCATTTCATAGTTCACAGCGACGAAAGCGCTTCCGACACCAGATGTTGTTACAACGGTCACTGAAACATTTGGCCACATGATTCGTACAGGTCTAAATTTACCATCAACTATTGGTAATGGATTTGGAAGAGCCATGGCTTGGTTAGGGAAAACATTTGCGGATGGTGGAGTCGGAGTTAAATATTCGGAAGAAAACTAAAAAAATTATTATATAATATAATCTTGTTACAAAAAAATATGGATAAATAAATTCGATGCGTGCAGTTTTTGGTGCATTCAATGATTGGAAATGGTTTTGTTTTATTTCTTTCATTCAATTGGAAATTAAATTTCTAGTGCTCTCAATGAAAGTTTTCAACGTAAATCTGTGCAAAAAAAAGCCAAAAATCTAAACTTTCAAGTAAAATCGCTGATAAAGAGTTACCCTTTCGTTCCAAAAGTGTTATAAAATTAAAACATTACTCTCAACTACCTGATTTTTGTCATTGTTTTAAAGAAGAACCTCATTTTTCAATTACAGATTTGCAGCTTGGTATCGAAATTGAAGAAAATAGCGTAGCAATTGACAATGGGAAATTCGAGTACAAAACTAGCGGAGAGATGCGCTCTACTCTCGAAAGATGAAGTTCCACTTGTGGCGAGCTCATTTAAATTGGTTAGCAAGAATTCGGAACGCATAAAGGAAGATGACTTAATGGTGAGTCACTACAAAAATCCACCAACTCAAAGTTCCTAAAATAAATCCCAAAAAAAATTCTTTTGTTTTTTCTTTAGAAATTTTGGGGATCGCAAATGGATCCACGCTTAGCGCAGTACATAACGAATTTCTTATTTGGAGAGCCAGCAAGTCGAGCGAATATTGTGGAGTTTCAACGATTTGCCGAATTGTATGTGTTTTCGGTGCGTGGTTCCGTTGACGAACGGATTGGTGTGTTATTAGCCAGCGTCGGACAAACCGATTCAGAGAATGCAGAGATAGCATATCCGTTGATCAAAGAGGTATGAATTGGTTCATTTATTGGAAAAAAAAATGCATTTTCGATTGTATTTAATTACCAGTCTGAAAATATGATTATTCCGATGTCTAAAAATGACTATATTTTGATACCCCATGACTAAACCACCCGTTTCGATTGTTTCAGTATGTTGAAGCTGTTGTAAGTAGCTATATGCGTGCACTTAGACTTGACGGTGGCATTGAGTTTAAATCATGGGAGGGCAAAGGTTTTCGAATTGTCAAAGAATGCATACAAAAACTGGCGGAGAGTTTAGCATCGGAGGCTGTGCAACAAGGTTCACAGAAAGTGACACGCGTCGATGCGACACGATGGCTTCAAGAAACACCAACTTTCGTTAAAATGTTGGAATACGTCTTCTTGCATCTGTACCATTATCGGCCGTCATCGAAGAATCAACATGACGACGCCCACAATTCGAAACGCAGATGCATTATTCCCGAATGCAATAAACTATTGCCATATTGTGAGGGACTTCAATACGTGCCAGATTATCCAGCATTTACCGACATTTCGCAAATGCTTTTCATCAACTCAAATCTGCCGGGTGACTATCGCCACAAATGGCGGTTTTTATTCTCGTCACAAATTCATGGCGAAAGCTTTTCCACGCTTATGGGACGAATCGTCGATCAAGGCCCGTGTGTAATCATTATTGAGGATACCAATGGGTCAGTTTTTGGTGGCTTTGCATCCGAATCATTGAGCTATGGTCCGCTCTTTCGTGGTATGGACTTGAAAAAAAAAAAGAAAAATTATTCAAAAGAAACGTTCTTTCTGTATAATTTATTCATTCAATATTCGTATTCATTTCCCAACAAAAAATAGGCAATGATTCGGCTTTCTTGTTTACGCTTCGACCGAAGATGCGATGTTTTACAACGAGCGGATATAACGATCATTATCAGTACCTTAACTTACATCAACAAACAATGCCAAACGGATTGGTAAGAATATTCTCTATTGAAATTTAGTCGATGTAATAGTTATCAATCGAAATCTTAAATCGAATAAAATTAATTTTGATCATATTCATAGGGAATGGGCGGTCAATTCAATTATTGGGGTCTTTGGCTGGATAATGAATTTGGCCAGGGTGAATGTTCGGAGTCGTGTACGACTTTCAAGAACTATACTCAATTATCTGCCAATAAAAAATTCGAAATTCGAAACATCGAGGTGTGGGCAGTGGGCAAAAAGCCGAAGAAAGAATCTGTAAGCGATCGATGGTTTTGGATCTTTTTTTGTTTTTCTCAACTTTCAACGATTGCATTATTTTTCATCATTCATTTACTGCAACATTTTATGTTGCTAATTCTTTGCATTTCTCTCCGTTTTTTTTTTTGCATCTTAGGAGGATGGAGAGCCGCGAGATTCAATTTTGGAGGGTCATCTTGAGGACAAAGCTGTTATGGAAATGGCTGGCCGTGGACGTTATTCAGAAGGTTATCGTGACAACAAACCAACTGATATCGAGTTCCAGAACTAAGATCGGCAAATTGATATTATTGACTATGTGCAGCACCAAAAATAATCAACCCGTTGATTTACTATGCATAGTACTTTAACCGATTTGCTTGGTTTATTTTTTAATACACACAAAACACCCCCGTCTTCTGGTGTCATTTCATCTTTAACGATTTCATTTTGTGTGCAATTTGCTGGGCAAAATGTGCCACGAATCTGTGTGAATTTTTATTTTGTAATATCTCTATGAATTTTAATTTAAAAAAAAATGTTTTTAACCATTTACGTAATAGCTTGATCAAAAATTTGAGAAACAATCAGAAGTTATCACATAAAGTAAAATTATTTATTGTGTAGCCATTTTATCGCTAAGTTTAAAAAAATTAAAGAGCACAATGTCTATCAAAACTATGTAATGATATTCAGTGCCATCCCAGTTAATAATACCCAGGCAAATTCCAGAGAAATTCAATTAAAAATAAGATTTTTCTGTCTGCAAAATATGTTGCTCATTTGTATTGTGCAATTTTTTTTCTTAAATTTTACTCAAATATCATCTCAGCTTTATGAAAGTTGCTTTTATTTATATCGCAACTTCAACTCAGAAATAACCACGAAAAAATATCGCACACACTTTTAAGTTTTGTGTAGAAAAAGAGAAGGAAAAAATAATACGCTCCATTGAAATGTATTTCCTGCGAATTGTTATGTGAACAATGTGATACAATTTAACGTTTTAACTGAGAAGAGAAAATATAAAAAGAAGAGAGGAAAAAAAAAATTATTAAATTTTCAACACAAACTGTACTATTGTGAGGACTAAAGCTATGCAAAACCTCTTGAAAAATGTTTATTAAACGTATGCCCTTTTGAAATTCCAAATAAAAAACCATAGAAAGAAATAAAAATCAACAACAACTGAATTTCAACACGACTACCAATACACGAGCAATTTTATGTGTCTGTACGAAAGCAATTTCTATGAATTGTGGTGTGAAAATGTACCCCATTCAAGTCATTCAAAACTATTTCGATATAAGTCTATATTAATATGAATGGCAGTAAATTTTTCAATCGAAATGGATAGCCAATTTTTGCACAAGAAAGCATTGACCAAGTCAATTGCACTTGACTTTTGATCCACATGCGTGTTGGATTAGAACATGTATCTACCAGTTTGATTTGTAGAACGAAATTGGTGAATGTCAGTCAATCAACACACATCCATTGATCATATTTTTACATATATTTTAGGCACACCTAGCTGTTATTTCCATTTTCATCAAAGTCTGTACATAATTTCAGTTATCATTTTAACATGTTAACAAAAAAAAATGGAAAGAAAATCCATCAAACAATTTGGAACTTTCTCAAAAATAAAAATAAAAATCACCTGAACTTTATATATGCGAATTGTTGCTCGTGTTTGATTTTATTTCGGAAAATTTTCCTGTTTTAAAAATAGACATTTATGTTGATGCAAAGGAAAAAAAAAATCAAAAACGCATATTCCATCGTTGACAATGCGTGCGTCATCGAAGCAAATCACCTCATTTAGTGAGTCAACGAAATGACCTTCCTAATGACACCAAGTTCCGATAAGCTGAAATCCTGATGCAATATGAAATTGTGCGGCTGAAACACTCAAAAGAAAACTTGGGAGATGAAAACATCAATTCTACAGTACAATGTACAGTACAACACATTTATTTGGAACGACTTACTATCTCATGAGATACTATTTTTCAATGGATCGACATAATTTTTGTTTTCCCACTACAGAGAGGATTGAACACAAGCCGGTTGCAGAATTGAGAGACATTTTCATTTGATAAGGGAGTTGTTATCGTCTTATTATTGAACAAAATTAAATGCTTATCTAACATTTCACATAATTATTTTCTTTTATTACTTTACTTGATACAGTTTTTTTTTGGTTGAATTTTTTATAAATTAATTTATGTGTTGGAATTTTGATACATTTTGTGTAGCTAGACACTGAATCAGTTAAACCAGATGTGTGTTAGATAATAGATTTTTTGTTTTTGCACGTGTTGAGTGATTATTAGGGTGTTTATTGTGGTTTACGGAAGTTCTTTCCGGCGTATTTGGCTGCAGCGCCCAATTCTTCTTCGATACGAAGGATTTGGTTGTATTTAGCCAAACGTTCTGAACGGCATGGTGCGCCGGTCTTAATTTGGCCAGTGCTCAAACCAACAACCAAGTCAGCGATGAAAGTGTCTTCGGTTTCACCCGAACGATGTGATACCATGGTGCCCCAGCCATTTTGTTTGGCCAACAAATGAGCCCGAATGGATTCGGTAACGGTACCGATTTGATTGACTTTCAACAACAAACAGTTGCAAGCCTTCTTCTCAACAGCGGTGGCAATACGTTTTGGGTTGGTTACAGTCAAATCGTCACCGACAATTTGGATTTTTGTGTTACCGGTGATGTTGCTCCAGGCAGCCCAATCATCTTGATCGAATGGATCTTCAATTGAAACCATTGGGAATTCACTGATGAATTCTTGGTACAAGTTGGTCAACTTGTCTGGAGTCAACCAAGCGGATTTGTCGCTGTTTGGATTCTTGAAGTCCAAGTCATAAAGACCATCCTTGAAGAATTCAGAGGCGGCAACATCCATACCGATTTCGACTTTGCCAGTGTAACCAGCCTTCGCAATAGCGTCTTGGATCAATTTCAAACCATCTTTGTTGTCCAAAATGTTTGGTGCGAAGCCACCTTCATCACCGACGGCGGTCGCATCCAAACCAAATTTGGCGTGGATGACTAAATTTGACGTGGACAGAAAATGGTAGAGATTAGTGTTTTGACTCAATAAAAAAATTCATTGAAATTTGAATAAGAATATTTATTTTCCGAAAAGAAAAATGTAGAAGGACGTTTACCTTTCTTCAAGTGATGGTAGACTTCTGAGCCAATTTTCATGGCTTCAGTGAATGAGGTTGCACCAGTTGGCAAGATCATGAATTCTTGCATTGCTAATTTATTACCAGCATGGCTGCCACCGTTGATGACGTTGAAAGCTGGAACTGGGAGGATGATGTCTTTGTTTCCGGCCAAATCAGCCAAGTGCTTGTACAATGGGACTCCCTTCTTGGCGGCGCCAGCCTAGTTATTATAATATGTATTTTTATTTACTGAACTCATTTCACTCTTGTGTAATTTTTAAATGTCCAAACTATGTACCTTGGCAACGGCCAATGAAACGCCCAAAAGAGCGTTAGCACCGTATTTCGACTTGTTTTCAGTGCCGTCCAATTTGATGAGGAATTCATCGATTTCGGTTTGTTGGGTGACTTCCAAACCGGATTTGATCAATTCTGGGGCTAATGCAGTGTTGATGTTAGCAACAGCTTTGGCAACACCTTTGCCATGGTAGTTGTTCTTTTCATTGTCACGCAATTCCAAAGCTTCGTGAACACCGGTCGATGCACCTGATGGCACAGCAGCACGGAACAATCCCAACTCAGTGGTCAAGTCAACCTCAACGGTTGGGTTGCCACGTGAGTCAAAGATTTGACGAGCTAAGATGCTTTTAATTGGCATTTTCGATCTAAATCAAATTATGTATGGAAAGAAAATCAAAATAAATTCGATTAAAAAAATGTTCCATTTAAATCAAACAGAAAACACCGGCACAATCAAATGATTCACAAATGATTTTAACAAACGGATTAAATAATGACACGAATCTAGGACTAATACAAACGGTTAAAAACAAAAATTATGTATAAAATTTAATTACGTGGAGGAACCCATCATAAAATTATTGATTAGAAATTAGTGACAGACAGAGAGATTGAATGTTTCACAATCACTTGTTTAGTTCAACCTGTTTGAATGAGGATTAAAATGAGTTTCATGTTAGTAAGCCAATTTATAGGTTCATAATCGGTTAGATCACACACAGAGAGACAGAGAGAGACACACGCTTACAGTGCACACCGAACGACGGTACTTTGACATTGAAAGAGTGATTCAAGCTTGCGATTGAAATAGTGAAGTATGTGCGACGATAGAATTATTCTGATAAGAAAATAGAATTGCCAACACACGCAAATGATAAAAACGACAATATATTTGTACAATTCAATGAGCGTTGATAAGTTGTGACGCTTAATATGCGTAGTAAATTGTAACCGTTTCTGAAAATTTGTTTTCAACGGATTTAAAGGAAAATGTATAAATCACGTGAATATCAACACGCATTCGCAGTCAACGTTATCGATGTGACGTTTCTAATGCTAACGTCATAGATTGAATATCTGAAGGCTGGGCTGAAAACGCTGTGCTTAGCTCACGATTTTGTGCTGCTCTGTCAAATTGACCTTCGACAAGGTTATTCGGCACTACAACAGTTTTCACACTTTGCATACACAAAATGTTCTGTGGCTGCATTGATCGCGATTGCGAATTCAGGAAGTTTTAAATTGAATTTAATTTACGAACATTCGCATCGAATGTTCTGGAAGCTGTTATACATTTTTTTTCTCTAAATTATACCTATCATAGGGGTATATTGACGTATTGCATAATATTGATGAAATATTTGAGCATACAATGTAATATGTTTTCTTAATTGTCAACGATTCTAAATGTCTCGAATACATTTTTAGCAAACAAAATACGATTTTCAGTGTGAATTTACACAAAACAATCGAAATAAAAAAAACGTTGGTCAAACGAACGATGGTAACACACCGGCATTGAATAGGTGTGAGAAGCTTAGCAATACTATGTTAAGTTATGCAATCACTCAGTGAAGGAAAAAAAATTATTTTTCTTTACAAAAATTAAATAAAAAGTGAATTGATTTCCAAATTTCAAACAGAAAATATGATTGTATGCTTTCATGGGCGGGAATGAAACTAAAACACTGCAAATACTCTTTTTTCGCTTTGTGGACAAAAATCACTAGAAAAGCACAGGCTCAGTAGAAATTACACAAAATAAAATGTTATCAAACGAAAAAAAACTAAGAGATGACATTTGAAGCGAGTGACGATTTAAAATAGAAAAAAGATATCGGAATGGATTTAACTTACAATAAACTGGAAAAATAGCGTTTGAAATTAATTTTTTCGTTTATTCAACGGCGAATGGCCTGAGCAACGATGTGAACTGGACAAAAACGTACGTGCGAATACTCAAAGCTGTTGGCTACGATGTGTAAAAGAACAGTCGCACCGAAAGTTTTTTCCACAGTTGTCAGCAGTGGAGGTGACCTTTTCAATTGAAATGCGTACTATTCACACCGTTGGCAGCGCCACTGGCGATAGGAGCGCGAAACTTGGCTTTATTGGAATCGTATTTTGAATTAAGTCAGTAGATTGCGGCGATTTCTTTTCGGTTAAATTCAATTCTGAGTTGGAATTTTTGATGGTGGACCTTTTTGATGTCACATTTTCATTTCGATACAGAGATTAGATCATTTTCTTGCATTTTAAGCGCCTGATTTCAGATAAACGAAAAAATGAAGTATGAAGAAATTAATAAATAATGTAATTTTTTCATTCTCGCGTGTTTAGCGATAGCAAATTCATTCTCATAGTAAAGCGATGTTCTTTCTACTCAGTTGAGATTATTTTGTTTGCGCTCAAAAGATTTCTCTTAAGGTACTATTTCCTAGGCGGCCGATTTTGGTCGCCGATTCAAGAGGGCATTCGGAATTTTTGCTATAACTTTTGAGCCAATGAACGGATTTTAACAAATTTTATATTTTTTGAAAAATGTAAACTTCATCTTTTTATATATAAAATTGCTTGGATCGGCGGCCGATCTTGGCCGATTTTCAAAATTTTTGGAAACCATGGACCGGTCCGTTTGGGAACTTATGTCCGCTACCCCAAAATTGGTCGCCAAGGAAATAGAACCTTACCAGTCAAAAGTACGAACTAAGATGGTAAGGGTTCCACCAAGCGAATGAGAATTTTTTTTTATTGAATACTTTTTCATCTAGATCTTCGAAATAAGGAAATAACCTGCAGAATAAAAAGGGCAAGAGACACGTTTTTTTTTTTTTTTTTCTAGAAAAAATAGAATTTCATTTTATTTCATTCAATTGATATATGAATTTGACACATTCCCAATAAAAACATGAAATCTTAATAAATGCTCCCTTAAATTAATTATTCGGTAAGACTTCCATCATTTCTTACTCCAGACTTATTTTGTATGTGTAATGTGTGTGTGTTTCATCTTTTTTCGCCTTTTGGAGATAAATAGATGCAAAATGAGAAAAGGTTTTAGCACTGAAACTGAACGTTAAATTGAAAAGGACACTCAATTGTTGTTGCCTGAAAAGTCAGAGCTGCAGCATTGGAATTGAGTAAAATTCGACAAACGATGGTTTAATTCGAGCTGGCGAATCCGTATGCATTCCACTTGGCAATAAAATCAATATGATCGTTGACACATGGATACCAATCTTTGGCTCCATAATCGATCAATGGCAAGTCACCACCATAGTTGGCTGGTAGATTTGCGGCATTAATGTGTTTCAGCAGCGACTTGCGATCCTTGCCATGGAAGTGCATACGTTTTGATAGTTTTTCCTTGACGAATGGCTTGAAGAGCGTCCACACCATGTTGAAGATGAATGGTTGATTCACTATATGTACTTGTTTCAAACGCAATGGCATAGCATCTTGGATGAATGTCAGCAAACGTTTCGACCAAGCTGGCGTTAAGGCTCTGACTTGTGACATGCCCAATCCGTCGAAATCCATTATCACAACAACACCGCGCACTTGAGTGTTCTCCTCCACCAGAGCAGCGATGTGGATCAAATAAAATAGACGGAACAATTGTTCGGATGAAACTTTCTTTGGGTCCCAGATTTTGCCACAATGAACAACCAACACACGACGACCATCCTGATCTAAATTGGTCAACACATTCACAACGTCGTTGTTTTCAAATGCATCTTTCTCATTTTCGGGCATCAAATTCTTCAATACGTCCACATAATCACGCTTGAATTCAGAAATACGACGCATCTGCAGAAGAGGGGGGAATAAAAACAAAAGACTATTAGTAAAACGATAGACAATTATTCAATGGTTATTATTATTTAACAAATTGAATGAAATGTTAACATAGAAAATAATGAATTAAAAAGCGAAAAAATCTTTCAATTCTTGGAAGCATTAAGGTACATTGTTGTACCACCGTTCTTACCGGTCATTTTCGTTAAAATTGTTCACAATTAGATAATTAGCAGTGTTAATTGAAATCAAAAGTGAAACGTGTTGATGAATCAGTCAAAAATTTGAAGAAAGAAAAACTTGTTTTTCGCCGCTGAGGTCAAAGGTACTAGTCATCGTAAAATTTATGTGACGAAAAAATATGGGACAATAGAAAAATTAAGAAACGTCATATTGCACGACCTCATCGCTAAACTGTTCCGTAAAATGAATGACCATGACCATACGGTGATATATATATATATATATATATATATATATATATATATATATATATACGTATTTTAGTGACGACAATTTATATCCGCAATTAATTTCACTTGTTTTCGCTTCATGTCGACGAATTGTTTGGAACAACGCAAACGAATATATTGAAAAATAATCGCTCTGTTCAGATATTGACTATCGTTTTATCAATGGATGTCTTTTTAAAATTAATGAACATTTTACGATTTTTTCATTTCATTTCATCTTCTTTCATCGCAACTGATATGAGCGCCAGTGTACGAGTGAATTCTTCTACGATAGATTTTGACCTAAGAAAATCTCAGAACATTCCTAGAATATACATAGGGGCGCACTTTAGCCTCGAAATTATAATTTTATAATTTATTTTTCACTTGATAATCACACAATCGCTTCAATTGATAGAAAAATGTTTGTTTCGTTTTCACTTTTCCCTATTTTTATCAACAAAACATTTCAATCGTCGTACTTTTTGTTTCTCTCGTCACTTTTCAAGATGCGATAACGAGCGAAGTACAAAATTGCTGTGTGTTATCACTTCGCCGTTTAAGTGGACAAAGAAAAATGTGAACTATAAATCTTTAGGTGACATTTGTATCTTCAATTTCTTCTTGCTCTCTCTTTTTTTATTGCTCTATTCAAACTCTATGTGAATTGTTTTCTAGTGCTTGTTCAAAACGAAGAGCAACACGTTTTGAGTGTATTTTTGTTTTGCTCCAAATAAACTCACCAATTTGATAGCACTCTCTGGATAGTAGTGGCATGGACGTAGAAATATTTTCAGAAAATCATCATCATCACGGAAATACAAATCGGAATTTTCATGCAAAAGGCGACGAAATTCGGCAATACTCTCCTCAACACGTTCGGGTGTTTCGTTCAATTCCGTTTCAGCGATCTTCTTGGTTTCGGCTGAAATTGGCCCGGTTTCCAATACAAATGGGTGCTCTGGCATTTTTACTTGAGATTTTGGTTACTACCTAAATGGAGGAGAAGAGAAAAGGGAGAAATCAGATTAGAACACTGGAACATGCAACTTAAATCGAATTTCAAGCATTTTTTTTTTCAACCGAATTTCAAATTTTTGGCGACTAATTAAGTTCTAAGTAAAACGCGATTCTTTGCATAAAACAGCTGCAATTGTTTACACTCAATACATTTTGAAGTCTATTTTAAATTATTTGGCCACTGAATCATTTCAACTTGCCCTAATTAACTTTGCACTCAAAATATTGCCTTGAAAATATACATTTTATTATTGAAAACTGAATGTGCACCAAAAATGCAAGTAAAAAAACTTCTTTTGACAAATTAAATTCGCACTATGAAAATTGGAAAGGATAGAGAGAATGGTTCTGTTGTGAACTGCGCACATGTAATGTGGACTGTATCGATATTCAAAATGATATATATTCCAGTGCGGAATGAATAATGCAGGCGAATCAAAATACATTTTAATTTATTTATATTGAATACAGTGAGTCAAAACGGCAAGCAAATTAACGGATTAATTAAAGCAGGCGCGTCGAGGTGTTTCTTCTATTATGGCAATGAAACTGTTCAAACTAAGAACTGAATTTTATTCATTCGATGGGACAAACATTTCAAATTGGGCCAATAAATTTATTTGGCGGCGAAGCGAAGGGAAATTGGACAATTGAATTTTAAAAAACTGACAAAAAACAAAACAAATGGCAAATTGAATGGAAGAATTTTAAAAATCAACGATTAGATTGATCACTTCGAAATATTTCAACAATTATTAACACTTGAGGAAAAAACCAAAAAATTCATCGAAAAATTTGAAAAGAAAACTCAAAATTCAAATAATCAATTTCATAAAAATTCACTGTACTTTTTCAAACGGAAAGAAAATCCAAAAAAAACTGAACTGTTTCAAGATGTCTGAAGTGGACACTGTCTAACGATCGACTGCTTTGAAATCATTTGCTGATATGAAATTTATTGCTTCGTCAAGAAAATATTGAAACGGATTATACGAACGAAAAAAAAAAATATGAAACTGATTAAACGGTTTGTCTAAAGAATACAATTGCACTAACACACTCAAAACCGTCGACGGGCAGTTACTATCTCTTCCTTGTTTGTTGTAGTCGTTGCGATTACTTTCGCTTGTTGTGTGTTGAACGATAATGCGAGAAGAAAAAACACACACACACACACCCTGTACGGATTTCGAACTTTGCTTAAATCGAAAAGGATGATTCGGTGCGGAAATGTTATGGTGTGGATTCAAGAAAACCCAGTCAACAACAGGTGGCCGAACGAAGTCTATCCAACCAACATAGTCAGCGACAACAACAGATTAAAGTGTCGTGATTCACGAAATTGACGCGATGAACATTGGATTGAAACAGAAAATAAACTGTACACAATGGAATTATCAACAAAAAACAAAAGTGCACACCAAAAATGATATGTGTAGTACATGCCGGTCAACTTGCTTGGTTTGTGTACATTAATGACGTGCGGATTTCAAATAAAGACGACTAAAGACAAATGCAAATAGTCATAATAGTCAAATTACATGCGCGCACAAAAACACACGCACACACACACACAACGAGATTGACCACGAACTTTTGTTTTCCATTATTACACACATGTTACACGTTCACCACGTTCGTTATTAATCGTTTGGGCACTTTGCTTTTGATAACGCATAAGATATACCCAAAAAATCGAAATGAAGCATTTGACGTGTGCTCGATCACAACAGAGTTCGTAGAATTGTAAATCACGAAGATCATCGCATGGGCTTCACATGCATTATCGGCACGAAACAAACAATGTTCTTGTGATAAGATGACAACAACAACTCTAATCGATTTATTATATATAGGAAAAAGTAGGAAAAAAAAACAATAAATTGGCCAATTCGATGTAGTTGATGTGTGTTTCCATTTATTGCCGTATTTGTGCTCTCGCTTGACCAAACGGTACAAAGTGCAGAAGTATTGCGCGTGTATTTCGTTCGATATGAGTGTTAGTTCTACGATAAGTATGCTAAACACATGGTGCTTTTGGACTGTTTTTTTCTTGACTTGTTGCTATCATAACAAATGAACGCGTGCACTTTAATACGGCTCATTCACATCAACATGACATATGATCGATGATATGTTGTTGTTATTTTTGTAAATATTTCATTGTTACCATTGTTTGTAATGAAAGACTCATTATGGTTTTCTTTAGAATTGGGAAATAATTTTTTTCTTCTCTTCTATCGTGCTCTTTCTGTGCAAGTTTTTGAAGAAGATGAATTTTTCTTTCTTTTCAATGAATTCATTGATCCCCATATCAACTGCTAGGGGGTAGACACGAAATAACACTAGAAGAAAACTAGCAAAAATTGAGCATACTAGAAGTTACTAGAAGAATATTTGTGAAAAAAAATTGAGTGATCTCTCTTCCATAAGAATAGCATTGCCAGTGATTTTTATTTGGACAAATTCTTCCATTTAAAATATACTGCCAATGCTTTGCTTATGGAATTCAAATGTTTTGTTTACAAACAGCACCGTTAATCCTTCCATAAGAAATGCATTGGCAATACTATACTTATGGAAGAAGCAATGGTAGATACTAGAAATACTAGCAGAATATTTGAGTTTCTGCTTGTATACTAGAAAAACTAGAAGAAACTAAACGCATATTTGAACCGATTTGAACAAACTAGCTATGCTAGAAATTGGTGTCTAACCCCTAGATTAACTGTTATCAACCGATGAATAGCAGCTTCGATATATAGTAAAAACGAGCTTGTTTTTACCAAGGTAACCCTTTGAATGCAAAAAATTTGCCGATCAGTCCATTGATCTGCATTGCCACTTAACGTTTTCAATATTGTTAAAACAACGAAAGCCCCATGGAGCCAAGCCAAAAGCATTTTTTTTGCATCACGTTGTCAGTCAGCGATTGATTCAGATTAGTCACTTGAACTAAATTTAGTATTTTTTGCAAAGTTACATACTCCTTTTCCGCGGTCATTGAAATCGATTTTCGTTATCGCTGGCTGTGAGTGCATTCAGTGTAGCCTAGCCTTGAATCATTGTAGAGCTTCACTGGTATCTTGAACTCAACAATTGCATGCGCACGGTTCGTGTGTTGATAAAGTTTGCTTATGCTTGATTGAATTTCTCCCGGTCGAAGGCAATGAATCTTGCGTCACTTTACACTTGAAACTGTATCACAACATCTTAGTTGGAAGAATGGAATTTTCGAATTTTGACTAAAAACAGAAAAAAAAAACAAACATAATAAAAACGTGCAACATGACAATGATCAAGTCTCACAGTCAGTGCATCAGACAATTAGGCTAGCATTTGTGCGATAATAGAACTGGAATGCCATAACAAAAAACAATCGTGTTCTAAATTTGGTTCCGTGTAATCAAAAATAATTTTCACATTGTACCGATGCTTTTGAACTGTACACAGCTTAGGTAATTTATTACCAAATTGATTGCCGGCCGGTTTACAGTCATTTTCAAAAGATTATAGTTCGTTTTGCTTTCTTACTTCGTCAAAGACATCTTTTTCTTTATCAGCAGTGGAAATTAATAAAAATGCCTTGTATTCGCATTTTTAGCTCTCGACGAAGAAAAAAAACGACGACTCTTTGATAACATTTTGTGTTGATTGCATTCGAAACAAAATGGTTTGAGTAATCAATATCATTTCATTATAAGATTGTGATTAGCTCAATTTTCGTGATTGAATCGTCAATTGCAGTTGAAAACACGAACGGAAATTACATAATCAACTTTGTGTGTTATGTTTTTTAACAGATTTTTCCACTTACCATGTGTTTCATTCTTAATCGAATGATGCGTGCACTAACCGCGGAAATTCACTCGAATCACACGAATTTAGTCAATTTTAATTCATATTTATAGCTAAAAACTAATAACTTCGCTTAAGTAATTTCAATTTCACGGAAACGATTCGACAAAATAACACAACCGGCATGGAATCGAAGCGTTGACAAACAAAATTGCGATGCACGGGATGCAATCATCGTCGGCACAATCATTTTACACCCGAGTTGTACGAATACGATGACCTTCACCCCGAAAAAAGGAAAAGCCGTTGTATTGGTAATGTTTACGGATGCCAATCCCATATGAACCAATACACTCATCCCGGTTGCACAATCACGTGGAATGTGTATCCCTACGATATGCATTCGATGTGGCTTCTAATTCGATGGCTACCCGTGTGAAAAAATAGTAACTGAGCAGTCAGTTAACTAATTTGGGACAAAAATGACTTACTTTGATTGACATTTCAGTACAAAGTGTAGTGTAAGTCTATCATAGTTAACTGAAATCATTTGAAGTTACAAGTCAATCTAAGTTGCTTCATTTGGGACCAAGTGATTTTCTTAGAACAAAAATATAAATTCAATCAACTAAAGTCAACTGAAGTTATAGTCAGTCAGTCATTTCTTTTTCACACGGGTAAATAAAAGACATGCGCATCATTTTTGATCACAATGCATTCACATGGAGACGGAGAGAGTGAGAGAATATTTTCTATTTTCATAAATGCATTAAAAGCTCTTGACCTTCATTTAAGATGATGGGTGATGAAGAGGAAGAAATTGAGTTTATCTTTTGCTACTTCCTTCACAATCAACATAAACCACTTTGAATACGAAGAACAACCACTTGTGTGTCTCGTGGAACTATTTTTAACACGAGTGCTTCTATATAAAGATTGACGGGACTCATCGTGCCAAAGTGTTCTTCAGCCAGCAACAAGGAAATATTCGATTTCTTATCCTTTTTAATTTAAGACGTTTATCGGTGCAAAAAAGTTGAACCTGTGTCATATTTGGTGTTTCAAACGGAAAAAACCAATTATGACGTGGAACTGAATTCGAAGAAATTGCACTTTTAAATGTAAACACAAAAATCTTACGTCATTGACTCGGCACACGTATGTCATATGCACGACGTTATTCGATTTATGACCAATATTTCATTTTTTTTTTAAATTTGGTTTATCGTTCATCGATTGCAATGAGTAATAAAATCGAAATGGACAATGGGCATTCCAATTGAATGGGAAAAAACAAAAGAGAAAAAAATTATCAAGGTTCTACCGAGATTTGAACTCAGATCGCTGGATTCAAAGTCCAGAGTGCTAACCATTACACCATAGAACCGCTTGAAAGACGATGCATTAATTGGCCACATGAGAGTTGCCGAAAAAAACGAGTTAAATTTTTTTCGGTTTTCAACTTTTTAATTTTATCGCTTCTCATACGATTCCCAATATGTTAAATGATGAGCGATTGCATAAAATTAGAAAGTAAGCATCGATGACACGTGGAACGTGTGATGCGTGTTGGATGCGACAGCTATGTGCTTTTCAGTATGAACAGATAATTTTATGTGAGAAAAATGTTCATTTTTATGTGGGAAATGTTAAAAACTCCTGAAAAAATTGAATTCTTCGACCTGAGGTTTGAATCGGGATTTACTTTTATTTGAAAAATTTAATTGCAACGGCATTTCCCCTTTGTTTTATCTCAGAATACTTCAAATCCATTCCATTCAGTCGACGCAACATAAAATGAAATAATGGCGACCGTCTCCATTTCGAACAATTCACGTTGGCCAATTGTGTTTGATTGCATTTGCAATGACATTGAATGTGTGCACTGATAATAAATCAACATGTGTAAATTGAAAAATCGAATGGAAAAAAATAATTTGAGGTTCTACCGAGATTTGAACTCAGATCGCTGGATTCAAAGTCCAGAGTGCTAACCATTACACCATAGAACCGCTTGAGAGTCGGTGTACAATTTGGCCATTCGAGAGATCCGTTAGTCCCACTTTCATTTATTTCTTCAACTTGATTAATCGGCACATGTGTCCCACCATTTGCAAAGTTGCATAAAAATAGTAAGTAAATAGTCCGAATGACGTTGGCCATGATGACGTGTGTTTGGTTGGATGTTTTTCCAATTGAATGGATTTGAGTCAACAATATATTGTAGTCGCATTTCCTAATGCGTTCTTTTCCAAATGACAAACAGTTTGAAGTATAAAATGGGTCGATAAAAATAATCGTCACACTCATTATTGAACGCAAAATCTAAAAATAATCAAAACCATCCGAACAATATGAATGGCCCTTCAATTGAAGTGAAAATAACAAGTCCGTCTCCACTGTAATAAACAATTGTAACATGAGGGAATTTCGTACAAGAGATGGAAAAAATACAGTTTTCCGATGGTCGAAAAAATGTTTCGAGGTTCTACCGAGATTTGAACTCAGATCGCTGGATTCAAAGTCCAGAGTGCTAACCATTACACCATAGAACCGCTTGAAAGATGATCGACCATTTGGTCTCTCGAACGGTTCATGCAGAAAAACTGGTTTAATTTTCATTTTTTCATGCCATAAAATGTAAATTTTAAGCGACCAAATCCGAAAGGAGACTCCACGATTGCTATTGCTGTAAAAAGTTACATGGTTGGATGGAATGATTCGTTTCATAGGTATAAAAAACCTTGCTCTTTTAAAGTCATCTATCGAAACGCAACATTTTCCTTCTCCTATCCATTATGATGATTTTTGAAGCCAAAAATTGACAAAAAATGAATCAATCCACAATAATTTGATAATATTTGAATCAAATCAAGTTGATTGAATCACTTTTCCTTACCCTCAGAAATGTTTCTTTGAAAAAATACCAAAATTGCGATCAATATTGCAATTGGACTAAAAATAAACATTCCGTTCTCCACTGTACTTGGCCAAAGCCCTTTTCATCGAAAACTAAAAAAAGCCAAATCAATGAAAAAGGGCAATTCTGCGTGGGAAAAAATGATCAAGGTTCTACCGAGATTTGAACTCAGATCGCTGGATTCAAAGTCCAGAGTGCTAACCATTACACCATAGAACCGCTTGAGAGACGATCGACAATTTGGCCATTCGAGAAATCCAAAAATAAAATCCATTTTTACCGCTGTTTTGTCAATTTAATATGCTCTCCATTCACAAAAGATAAAAGGCAATAAACAACAATTTGAAAGTAAACATGCGTGAATATGCAAATTAAATTCATCAAAATATGCAAATTTCATGGAAATACTCCACACTTTGTATCAAATATTCGTCGTTCAAATTTCTATCCAAAGAAAGATTCAATGAAAACGAAAATGAGAATTTGAAATGAACACTATCATACCGCCCACGGAAATGGCCCAACCTGATGTTTATACACAATATGTATAAAATAAATTTTAAAATATAAAAAAACTCCGTCTCCACTGTGATTTATTCAACAAAACGACAAATAAAGATTGTTGAATTAAAAAAAAGTAAAAAAAAAAAAATTTCAGGTTCTACCGAGATTTGAACTCAGATCGCTGGATTCAGAGTCCAGAGTGCTAACCATTACACCATAGAACCGTATATCAATCAGTATGCTACTTCTACACTTAAGCGATGTGACTGCGTGTCCTGTTACTACTACTACAGCGTAACAAGTTCAGTACAAATGAACAACTGAGGTGATGATGATCAACAAGTGTATTTCGCATTGTTCAAATTCTTTTCGAAATCTGAATTATGCGCCTCAAATGTAATATTTTACATTTTTATCATTCACTTCAAGTTTTTGCACAACAAATTTCATTATTCTTTGAATGTTTCAATGAACAACGGAGCCCCTGTTGGTGGCTGTCGTAAATACAGCATACAAATCTGTCGCATCTGTCAAATTCAAATTTGCCTACTGTATGTGTTTGATGTGCTGAAGCGGCACAAAAAATGACACACAAAAAAGCGACACAGCAACACATTGTATTTTGTGAGTGTGGTTGAACAAACAAACCGTCTCGAGTGAGTGTCGACGACATTTTTTTTTATTACGCATCATATTTTGTGAAGAAGTACCGCAAAGCGAGTATGTAAATACAGAAAGACACGAAAATTGTATGACATTTTTGCGATATCAATTTCAAATATTTGCCAAAAGGACTTTATTTACCGTGAGAATTGACGAAAATTGTTGTAATTGGTGAGTTTAATTACATTTTTCAACTGCTACTGAACGATTCCGTGTTCAATAAATTAGAATTTTTGATTGTGTCAGCGACATGACGGTAGTTCACGGTTTTTTCTTCTTAAAATATTTTTTTCTGCTAAAAGATACTCCAACACCTTGACCCAGAATGGCCGATGATGGACGACGCTTTAGCTTGCGATTGAAGAGCAGAGCATCGATTGGGCCATTGATTGAACAGCTACCAAAGAAGCCACGATTGTCTTCGCAGAACAAAGCCAATTTGGACGTTCGTTCACAGCCGGTGTCGCCCGACAAAAATGATTCACAACCAAACGAAGAAGTGCTGCCGCAGCTGAGCGATGCATGTTTGTTGAAAGTGTTCGAGCACTTGGACCTCAAGACTCTATGTTCGATGGCTGATATGTCGAAGCATTTCAGAGAGCTCTCGGCGGAAGTATTTGCGGACAATTTCGACGAGTTGTATTTCCTTACGTTGGACCGTTGGTTGTTTCGTCGTGTGATGCGCAAATTCGGTCAATACGTTTCATCGATAAGCTTCACCCAAACCACACTCGGACCCGGTGACATCAGCATCTTCAAATACTGCACCAAATTGGAACGATTATCATTGACAGCGATGCAGATTGATAGCAATGAATTCGAGCCGGTGTTTGCTCGATTGAAATACTTGTGTTTGGATAGTTGCGATTTCAATGGCGATCCGACCCAACTGTTTGCTGCATGCACCGAACTCGAGCAATTTGTTGTCAATGCAAAAAATTTCTACGACATTCCAAAATGCTTATTCCCCGAACTAAACTCGCTCCGGTTTGAATGCGAAAGCGAATGGAAATGGAATCATTTGTGGCAACTGCTCCGGCTCAATCCACAGATCAAACGTTTGTACATTGTAGCATTGCCCGATGACAAAGTCATTGCGAAAGTCGTTCAAAATGCACCGCAGCTAGAGGTATTGTTCATCGAACCCGGTTTACTGTCCAAATGTCCAAGAGAACAGAGTTGTAATGGTTTGCTTCAGCTGGCCGAACTGACATCATTGAAGCAACTATCGTTGCATACTGGCGATGGAAACTACAACCGTTACGCTGGCTTACTTGCAAAAACACTGTCAACCAAGGAAATCAAATTGGAGTTTTTGTGTTTCGAGTCATTCGCAATTGATCGTCAAGATTTTTGCCACATTTTAAAGCTCAACACATTGGAAAAATTGGTTTTGATCTCGATCGGCGAATTGAATAACTTTGATTTGATAGCGATTGGCAATAAGCTGCCTTTATTGGAACAACTTCGCATTGATATTGATTTCAGCGACCAAATATTCATCGACATCATTGGCTTGATGATCCTGATTGAAACCGCCGAAAATCTTACATACCTGGGATTGAATGGCATTCGCAACATGAACATCAACCAGAATACATTCGAAGATTTGGTGGCATTGACGAAAAAACGGAGTGATGTCCCATTGAAAATCGCAATCATTGGCTGCAACACAACCACCGAATTCAATGTACCGCAGGACATTCAATTGAAACATCGATCGGTATTGCAAATTGACTACCAATCGGACGAGGATGGAGAGTGCTCATGTGAACACTGCACGGAACTCATGTTATTTTGAAAAGAAGAAAAAATCAAACATTTCACAATTTTGGGACGATTTTCCGTTTCAGATTTCGAAAATGTTCAAGGATTTTTTTTTTGTGCCCAAAAATAAGTAAGAGAAGTGATTGAAATGACAACATGTTCAAAAGAAATTAATTTAGGGGTTGGATTAGAGTTTAATTTAGCTTTAATTGCGAAAAAATATTTATTGGAAAAAATCACGAGAATTGAATCAAAGAATTAACACAAGCCTAAACGGCACATTTATAGCTACAAATCGATTTTGTAGAATTGTTCATTTTTTTAAATACATTCTCAAATAAGATTTTGCGTCGATTTTTCAATTATTTTTCAGATAGAGTTTCCTTGTTTTGCATCTTTTACAGCGGATTTGTTTTGTAATAAATGCTTGAACAAAAATGAATTGTCGCCTGAATTTAAGATGCAAGTAACAAGAAACAAATTGAAACGACTTGTTGAATATAAATTAAGCTAAAGGAAATGATTATTTTTATCACTCACATTCGATATCTGCTAATAAATCACTCATGTTTCCATAGTCTTACTTCAACTTTCACCTATTTACAAAAACCTCTTTTAGCTCTTTTAACATTTCATTAACTTATCATTGCGATCATAACTAATCACGAACATAAATGTTTTAAATTCGGCAATTTACCTTTGACGAAAGCATAGCTTACTACTTGAGTTTACTCAAACTTAAACGTCGTAGTTTCGCCCAACGTTCGTTAGCTTCGTTAGCTTGATCTAAATCACAATGAATAATTAGCTTTCTAACCACTTCGAATGGCATCGTCAACTATTCCAAAGAATTTTTCAAGCGATATTTTAAATTAGTCCAGCCATTTTGAGCAATACTTGTTGATGAATTGACAAATTGTATATACATTAGTAATTTGCATAGCTACGTGATAATCGAATGTTAGCACTTGAAAATAATTCCCGAAATAATCGACCATATTTGTAGTCATTTTAACATCGTGATGGTAACTTTAGTTTGGCCCTCAACGAATTGTGGTTCCATTTTTTTCGAGTGATCGTCGAAAAACATGAGTAAAATGTACTCCACTTTATCGAAATAAATTTATAACTTGTGCTGTAGAAATGATTTCAAGTACGGAAAAATAATTTCCCTAACACGAAGAATGTCTCGATTTTTTGTTGTGGAATTTTCCACTGCTTTTCGGATCGAATGTGATGAGTCTCTTTCACACCTGCTAGTTATCGTAAACCGGCTCTACTAAACCCACACCATATAAAAAATATTGAAAAAATCGATTATATGCATTTGAGAATGATAATTGTTGTTTTCGAACCACTATGGCTGAGTTGTTTCTAATGTCTTTTCAAATTGATAAATTTATTTTCTTGAAAATCTCCATGAAAAAACGCACATTTTAACATCCCCAATGGAAATATTTCATAGCATATCCAAGGAGTTCAGAAACGGATATTAGTCAGTAGGGAGAGTTTCACGTTGAAATTATCGAAAGCTAATGGCATTCGAAATGCGATTTAATGAGGTTTAAGAAATTACACACGATTTGCCATGCGATTTTCCATACATTTCAATCCATAGAACAGAAACAGCACGTCCTTTTCGTAGCGTGAATTCTAAATTAATAGATTTTCGAGTTTTGTCGTCAATGTGTTCAGAGCCAGTAGATTCTAACAATCGCGCTGCAATTTCATGCACATTAAAAACTCACAGAGCTGACATAGGCACCTACGGGGTGCCGGCACTTACTTGGGTGCGCACCTAGTACTTCAAAATACCTATTACTATTTCAAAATACCTTTTTTCACAATATTTTTGGATGTTTTGAAATTTGATTTTTTTTTATCATCTAAATATCATAGATTTATTTTAAAAAAATTACATCAATCTCAAAAATACTCAAAATTTATTTTTCGAATAGTACTAGGTGCGCACCCAAGGTAGTAAGTGCTGGCACCTCGTAGGTGCCTATGTCAGCTCTGAAAACTCATTTTCAAGAAATACAGTCATTAAGAAAGAATTTTCGATGAACGTTTTTTTCGTAAATGCGGCATTCTGATTCGGGGAAATGTGATAATTCGAAAACTGATTCATACTGAGTTTAGTTAATATTGAACATTCAAAGTGAATAGATACGTTTTTTATTGAATTTTATACAATTCAGAATATCTATGTCATTCAGTCATCCATTGTAGCTCTGTTTTAGAACTCTTTAATCAAGACGTAAAAGTAACAAAGAAGCATTGACTGGCTTTGCAATTTTGGTTACTTGTTTCAGTGGCATTTTGAGGAAAATATTTCAATTCAAACGCAGGTACGCCATTAAAAGTTGTTCAGACTAGTGTTTTGATTCAAATCTACTACAAAGCTATTTACATTTTCGAGTAAATATTCTAGTAAATCTGTCAAAAAATATATTCGAAGCTATTGACTAAAATAATCCAAGGAAAAACAAACGTTTGTGACTTTTACTCATTTGCCGTAAGAGGTGAAAACGCCACACATTTTGAGAAACCAAATTCTATTAATATATCCGTTTTATGAACTCGAATATAATTCATTTTTATATTAATATTTAAATTTCATCCGAAGCACCACTTTAAAATGTTGCAAAACATCAAATTGAATATACTTTCGTGGCGTGAAATCCTCGGAGGTTTGCCAAAATTTTTCAGCCACCCCGAAAATCATTGTCATCTCAAAAATCAAAATGCGGAATAAAATCATCCTAATGAATTCATTTAGAGAGCCGAAAGAGAAATGCTTGAATATGAATAATCGTGAAGCAAATATGATTCATGGAATTGAAATTAGAATGAGTTGCATTACGTTCTTCAATAGTATTATTCAACAACAACAAAACAGCCGAACGATACACTTCCAAACAAATTGCCGAACGTTTTCTGAATTTTGTTTTTTTCCATCTTCTATAATGACTTGATATTGAGACCTATAAAATCATTATATAAATCTTGATATAAATCCAAAAAAATCTAATGCACTCATCGTTTCATCGAAATTTAATCTCAGATACATCAATTATGACAAATTGCCGAAAATAAAAATCAACGACCAAGAAATAGAATATGTTGATTCGGCAAGAGATTTGGGTTATATCAT